TCCGGAAGGTGAGCGGGATGGATTGGACTCCGGCGGGGAACGCGGGTGTCTCGAAGTGGTGCTAATGGGAAGAGATTTCTGCTCCCCAAAGAAGATGCGCTGCCACAAAGAGCGGCTTGCGCGCCGGCCTGGGCTCTAGCCCGGGAGACATCCCGGGAGAACTCCGAGCTCGGAGCGCTCGGCTAAGACCCGGGCAACATGCCTGTTCGCAGGGGGCATGTGGCACCGCAAAACACCTTCCTGGGGACCATCATACGGAAATTTGAAGGACAGAGTAAGTTGGTTTGTTTTCTCTTGTCGCTTGCTTTCGGCTTTGGCAGAGCACTTGGCATCGGTCGCTTCCAAGCTACAGAGATGGACAACTCCAGGCTGTCAAGTTAGAGGCTGGGAAAGCCAGGCAGGCAGTTCCCGGTGGCAGCGGGAGTGTTCTCTCTCTAATATTAATTGGGATTTACGTTTTAGACTATGGACTCCATTGTACAAGGCAATTTGATCCTCCTCTCCCACTGCTCCATTATTTGCCTTGCTACTTCATGCCCTACTAGACTACTACCTTAAAGGGAACGTGCTGGTATAACACGGGCTTGCATTATAACATGGGCTTTTCTGTGGCAGACTTTTTAAAGTCAGGAGCAGAGCAGACCATAGGCTCCAAACAAGGACATGTAAATGTAGTAGCGATGGAAATGGGTATGCAAACTGTGTTTTATCTTGATAAACTGCTTGGTTGTGGAATGCCAAGGATACCTGCTTTATGTTAGTTGGCTCCTAAAACTGAACTTTGTACGGAAGCTGAAATAGACGGCAAAGAATAATATGAAGAGTAGTGGTCTGGTTTTGGGTGCAAGAAGCTTACTACTCAAAAACCATATTTGTGTGTCGCTGTGGCTCCCCTAAACATGCTGTCTGGGAATTTAAAAATCAAAGTACACTCCGTAAATCCCACAGAGACTGAGTGTCAATAAATTTAATGTACTCATGTAAGCAAACCACCAGGAATTATTTTATATAAATTTAATAATTTAAAATCCTATAGTTGTCCATTTATATTCTGCACTAAATCTACCTCAGCTTGCATTTATGTGCATACTTTACAAATTTTCCAGTACTGCATTTAACTATGTGAAGATTTGGTGCCTGTGTAAAATAACTTCCCTATTCTGCTGCGTATTCTTTCTGGAAATAACAAATATAGTTTGCTATCACACTTAATGGGATTTGTATTAAAATATATACTATTACACAAACATCTCTCTTGTAACAAAGGGAAAGTTTTTAAAATGTGTTATCATCATGATTAATGCCTATGTGTGTGTGTTTTTTATCTTTTGGAATTGGACATTATGGAAATTGTGAGGCTTTACATTATTTAGTGCTAATAAATCTGAAATCATTTCATTGCTATAGATAATTGTGATAAAAGTGCACCATGTGTAAAAAAACTACAGACATGTATACCTTTTATTTACAAAAATCAAGGAAAAAACAAATACAAGAATAATAAGTGCTTTGAGAAAGTTACATTCTAAGGTCCAGGAAAAGTTGAAGTGAGAAACCTGACAGTTACAGGATGTTTCAATTTTCTGTCTTAGAAAAAAATTATCATACAATTAAATGGCATTCTGGAACTATCCATTGGCATGATGCTTGTGTGACTGCCTGCCACTAAGACCCCTGGGACTCACAGAGCTAGAGAACTAGATAACTTAGAAACCTCTGTTCTTTAAATTGAAGAATAATTTTGTTAATTTTTCTATTTAATTACTTAGTGCCACTGAGCTCACATTTGAAGTTTGTAGCAGGGTGTGTGTGTGTGTGTGTGTGTGTGTGTGTGTGTGTGTGTGTGTATTTTTAATTCTCTGAGAAAGGCCTAAATAATTAGTATTTGGGGGAAACAACTGCATTCCAGAACCTTATTATGCAACAAATTGTTTTAGTGTTTATGAGAACCTTGTAGAAGATTTTTAAAAGATGCCTTATCCTCTTCTTATTGCAGATAAAAAATTTATCATTGCAAATGCCAGAGTGCAGAACTGTGCCATCATCTACTGCAATGACGGGTTCTGCGAGATGACTGGTTTCTCCAGGCCAGATGTCATGCAGAAGCCGTGCACCTGTGACTTTCTCCATGGGCCTGAGACCAAGAGGCATGATATTGCCCAAATTGCCCAGGCATTACTGGGGTCAGAGGAGAGGAAAGTGGAGGTCACCTACTATCATAAAAATGGTAAAGTGGACCTGTTTAGTGTTCTTTGTATTTGATTCTCTTTAAATGAAATCTTGATTACTCAAAGTTCATATGCAGAGAAACCCCATATAATTAATTGTACGGGGAGTTTTTGTTTTTTTAAAATATAAAAGTCTTAGTATCCAAGAAGCATGGATGTTCTTATTCAATAATAAGAACCAGTAGGAAAAATTCCTTCTTTGTGTAAGGGCACCTTGTTTGAACTCTGTAGAGGTACAGTAACTTAATGTCATCAAGAACAAAAATGTCTTAAGTCAGCCCTGACACGTTTTAAAGAAATAATGTGAAGATTAGTAATTCACTGTTTTCACCATTCTATGCATAGTGTGAGAGAAACACATTTTATTTGCCTGTATTTGAACATATTTCACAAGGTCTTCTTGGAAACGGTAGTCTGAATTGAAGATTGGTACAGTTATGAGTGTTTCTTGGCTTTTTAAGTGTTGATAGATGGAAATTCTTGTCTCATTCATTTGTTTTGAGAGAAGATTAAGCAGAGTTTATAGTAACTTCTATAACTGAGACACTAAACTTAGGTACATGCATATGTTAAGAAATAAGAAATATGGAAGGCATTACTTGGTAAAAGAAATACAGAAAAGTATCCGTGAGTATTAAGGGTTATTACTATTTACTTGTCCACCATAGATAAACTATCATTTCAAAATGAAGGTCATTATTTTAATTTTAAGGACACACTACCTTCTTATAGCCTTGCCCTGGGAGCACTGTGTATGCATTTATACTGTAGCTACTCCCCCCTCTCTCGCACACACACATTCACCATTCACATGTGTGTTCATTATACATACATATATAATATATATATATATATATGTGTCCCTTTTAAAAATATATATATATATATATATATATATATATATATATATATATATATATAATGTTCACACTTAATGTAATTTGCCAACTTAATAAAACACTTATAGAAAACATGTGCATTGTAGTTTTTGCCAATATTATATCATCTATTTCTCCATGTTGCATATACAAAAATTAATGTGGTTGAGGAGGCTCTGTCATAGTATAGTCTATGTCATATTGTGACTCCTATGAAAACTAGAGAAAAAAATACCAAAAGAAAGATATAATTCTTTCTCTTGTTTCTTATAATTAAACATGTCATGGTAAGAAATGTACACTTCTTAATTACTGGATTTTTCCATTTATGAAGTTGAACTTGGGTGGGTATTTGCAACCAAGTATTACTGGAAAAACAGGTTTGTATAACTTTGTATTGCTTTGGAATGAAAGCAATTATACTTTCATTATTATTAAACAGCACAGAGCTTGTTTATTTAATTCCAGTTATCTTTTACTTTTTGATCAATAACATTGTATTTTATAAATAGCCTGATGACTCCACTGTCTAAAAATATTTCTGTGTTGAGACTCACAGAACACTGCAACTTACCTCTTTTGTCTATGTGATGACAAGAAACTAGATCTTTGAGTAAGAAGTTCAGTGTCGGTTCTTTTCTGACTATCAGGCATAAAGTTGACATGGTCTATGTTGTGGTTGTTCAAAGTATGATGGCTCATCATTGGCTGATATATTTTCAAGACTGTTTTAGATGTTTTTCCATCTCAAAAAATTAAAGTACGGCTCTGACTAAATCAGTTAGGTATTAAGTACATTTTTTAGAATTGTCTCAACTAGGAATTGTATCTATTATGGTGTAACTGAAATGTGGACGTTTTGAACCCTCATCAGTTCATTTGCTGTAACCACAAAATGAGCTCAGAGCACTTTTCAGAAAATATTTTATATATAACCACAAACTTGTTGATGACGAAGTTGTAAAGATTTCAGTGCATTGACCGTCACAAATCTATGCCTGAATGGGTTCTTTAGCTTTATGAAGTTTTTTTTTCATACAAGGAGTCTTTGTTTGGAAGCCCATCAAAGCATAGAAATGTCAATTTTTTGTGAAGATTTTCTCTATTAATGGTTTCTCAGGTGAGACACACTTTGAAGGAGTAGGGTGTCTCTAGTATTAGCAAGAAACTGTTCAGCTTTAATTTGTAGAAGAATAGATGAACTCAGTTTCTCTACTTTTCAAGGAAAACTTATTAAATTCAATCCCCTTGGAGGTTGTTAAGATACAGATATGTTTACCAACTTTAGATGCAATAAACTAGTGGTTAGCTAGTTCAGAATAAACTCTTCAGAGTTGACTCGTTTATTCGCAGAACCTCTATAAAATCATTGAAGGCTTGGGAGATTCAAACACTTTGATAGCATCACCTCTTTTTGACCTGCTGCAAGCCACTTTGTATTCATAAAAGCAGACGAAGGAAAAAAAGCATAGAAACAGTTTCATTGGTTTGTTTCTGAAAGTTTCCTTCATTCTTTTTAACTGGGGTCAATTAATTTGATGGTTTGCTTTCTTAAGTCTTGATTCTCTTTACAAAGTGCTTTCTTTACTTACTAATTCAGCAGTTCAATGAAATGGGTAAGTTATGTAATGAATACAATGAGAAGTTAGGAGCAGTGGCTACATTCTGTGTTCAACATTCATTCATGATGGAGCACCAAAACAATTTTGAGGAGTAAACCAATATATCTGAAAGTTGGTTTTGTGAAGGGGTCCACTGGTTTCGTTAGCAGTGAAAGTCAGAGATGTATGCAGTGAGTCCCAACAGAATTGTCATGAGCTGCACAGCCCACGAGGAAGCAATACTTCCTACCTTGCTCAGTATATGACTATTCTAGGTAGAGTAGAGCTTGCTGTTTACCAGAATATCAATCCTTTAAAAAAAAGCTACTTATCTGAAGTAGAAGCACTTGACAGTCCTTCCTTTGAGAGTTCTATTTTACAGTTTAAGTCATTATTGCATAAATCATTCTTGGCAGCTCTGAATGTTGCTTGAGGTGATAAAGCTGTAAATCTTTTGACACAAAAGTCTAATTATATAAAACTATAATTACACTGAGACTTATATAAGGGTGGGCATGTATTTTAATACTGTGATGCCTCCATATTAAAAAAAAATTACCTTGAGAGGAATAGTGACTGAGAACCAGAAAACACTCGTTGTTTTCTTGTTTGTGATGGAAATAAGAAAAATAAAAGAATAGTTTAATTGGTTGTACCATAATTTGTTTACATGATTTTTTGGGGGGTGTGTATCATGTCATATAAATAGCCTGTTGAAACCTTAAAACCTTTCAGGTATATTTAAGTGTGTAATGCAAGTCACCAAGCAACTTCAAAAATCTGGAAAACCAAAGTAAACTTCTCCTGGACAAATAATACCTTTATTCAGAAGGAAATCAGGTCCTGAAATGTGTGAGAACTGGCAATCAGGCAGACACAGTGCCGTTGCAATTTTATTATTCAATCAGTATAGTATATGATTGCCTTTCTAGTTTTGTGCTGCTTTTCAGTAGCTGGAGGATGGACAGTGGCTGGGGAGAATCCTTTCCTGATCTACTGAGTTTCATAGGCAACCTTTAATTCCACTGAAATTGGAAGTGGCTTTGGGTTGTTAGCATTGAGTCTCTCCTTCCCGAAAGCTATACAGAAAGACCTAAAAAAGTGCCGCTTTACAAGTACGAGTGAAGGTTCAGCCTGGATTTTACCTCTATCTCAGGTGACACATTCATCATTGGTACGAAAAATGCACAAAGGGTCTCTACCTTGAGGACATTTGTGTGACAGAGCAAGTAGTGTTCATCTGCAATTTCTGAATCATAGATGTTTCTGAGAAGTTGCATATAAACAAATAAAAAACATATAGAGATCTTACGACATTTAAGGTCAAACATTGCACTCACTCTATTCTTCAACTTTAAAATAACTATTAATATATACTTTTTATCATACTTTTTTACTTGCACACTAAAATGACGTCTTAAGGAAGCAATGTAGTTTAGTTAAAATTTTAGTCATATGAAATAACTATTATAATAGCTTTACATAATCTTTATGCACATAATATATTCAGCTCTCCTAATTCTTGGATTGTGTAGTAGAGCTGCAGATGGTGGTTTTAAATACAGAAATAGAAATATAGTTTGTGTGTATGTAATTCAAGCAACAGGAAAGATTTCCAAGGAGTGTGTTGCCTGGGATTTGTTTCATTGTCACTTTCTTTCTCTTACCCCTACTTCTCCATACTTTATTCAGCAGGATATTATAACATCAGAGATTCTAAAATTCATTTTCTTTCATGGATCTAATTTTTTCTAACACCTCATGCCTTCTGTAGATTATGCTTGAACCATTGTAGCTGTTAGTAAAATAACCATTCTGAAAGAGTAGTCCTCCCCATGGTCTGGAAACTTTATTTAATTATTGTCTCATGTGAAACCAAAATGTCCTGAAGATAGGAATGGACTGATCTTATCTTGGTACACCACCCTCCAGCTCTACACCTGTGATCACTGGTGCAAAAAGACTCAACATTTACAGGTGGCTTGGGAGATGACTGCTTGCTTATTGTTATTCCTAAATGGCTTGAGAGCAGGTCAATTTCAAGGCACAGAGTAGGCTGATCAGAGAAGCTTCCTTCTGCTGAATCCTAAGGGATCGTGTTTACTTTGTGGTCTGTTTTGGTTGCTTGATATAAATTGGCACCAGTTGCTGAGAGAATCCTTGAACAGTTGAGGTATGTGGAAGTAGCAGGTAAAGTATGGAGTACTGTGATGAACCACTCATACTCCCATTTGAATTAGAAGCCAGGAAATACTTACAATTTTTCCTCTTTTTCCTAAACTTTTGATCAAAAAACATCTCACACTACTACTCCTACTTCTCTATTTGCTGTCAAGTTCTCTCATTGAGGTCTGCATGTAAAGGCCCACTTTTGGAAGCATAGAAATATTCTTTTCTCTGCTCTGCAATCCATTTCTCATGTTGTCATCAGAGAACTGTAGCTAAAAGAATGATTATTTAGTGAAGCTAAGTGTCACTGTAGGTGAATGAATTTTATGCATTAAATAAAGGGTACAATAA